ACTCGTATTTGCAGAGTAATATTGATATCAACACTACTACTATTACTAAGTACTACGACCACGAACCATTATTATAATTACGACCACCGATGCAGCTACTGAGTATTCGTATCAAGTAGTACCACTAAGCGTTACTCGTACTACTGCTACTACTAAGTCGTACTACAACTAAATACGACTAGTATTAAGGAGCGGTATCCCGAAGTACTAATACATATTATCGTTCTAATAGTAATGACAATTACCAATACTACTACTACTAGATAGTGGTAGTTGTTATTGAACTCAGTCAGACTAATAATATACAAACGATTATCAGGAAACATAGTTTTCGTACCGACACGCATATCGTTATTGTTACCACAGCACTACTTCTATCACCGAAACTGTTGAAAATCGTACTAACGCACTTATTATTCCAAAGACAAAGGGACGATTGTATTAAAGAACAAACCGAACTGCACCAGATAGCGCGCCGGTATCTGGTGCACCCGCTCTGCGTCAAATATAATTCACAACAGTGATATGTTCCTGCGAAAAACATGTAGTTTTTGAAGATCTGGCGAGCAAGTTGTAAACCGACTCTGTCATTTCAGAGACGAAGTGATGGTTCTCTTAAAAGGAAATGACACGTGAAGTCTCTGGCGTCCAAATCGTTCTAACTCAAATGTATTGCGCGCTACTTGCCGCTCGCTGCCGAAACGCCAGATACACGCATATTGTTTTTGTCACCACAGTACTATTTCTATCACCGAAACTGTTGAAAATCGTACTAATGCACTTATTAATCTAAAGGCAAATGGACGATTGTATTAAAGAACAAACCGAACTGCACCAGATAGCGCGCCGGTATCTGGTGCACCCGCTCTGCGCGAAATATAATTCACAACAGTGATGTGTTCGTGCGAAAAGCATATTGTTTTTGAAGGTCTGGCGAGCAAGTTGTAAACCGACTCTGTCATTTCAGACAGGAAATGATGTTTCTCTTAAAAGGGAATAGCACATGAACTCGCTGGCGTCCAAATCTTTCTAGCTCAAGTGTATTGCGCGCTGCTTGCCGCTCGCTGCTGAAACGCCAGATGCACGCATATTGTTATTGTTACCACAGTATTACTTCTATCACCGAAACTGTTGAAAAGTTGTACTAATGCATTTAATAATCCAAAGACAAAGGGACGATTGTATTAAAGAACAAACCGAACTGCACCAGATAGCGCGCCGGTATCTGGTGCACCCGCTCTGCGTGAAATATAACTCACAACAGTGTTATGTTCCTGCGAAAAGCATATTGTTTTTGAAGATCTGGCGAGCAAGTTGTAAACTGACTCAGTCATTTCATAGACGAAGAGATGTTTCTCTTAATGTATTGCATATATAGCTGCTGCAGAAAGGTTCAAGATTTGGCCGTTTCTCTCCAGAGTAGAATGAACACCCAAGGTAACGAGTACTATTGTTATTAATATATTTCGTATGTAGCTTATATGCGTTGATTAATTGATCAATGTTACTTTGTTGCGATGCCATTGCGCCCACAGCTGCAAAGACGTGGCTCGAGTCTCGAAATCTTTGATTTCATACGTTCATACGCAATGGCGTATGAAATTGCGTACCTGGAGGGAGGCGCCGTTATCGGCCCTCTTCCCATCTTGCCCCCCAGCGCCGCGTGGAGCAAGTTGGGGATGCGCCAGCAAGATCGCTTGAACAACGGCGAGGATTCGGGAACTTTGAAAGCCGCATACTATACATGTAACATTTGCTTTGGCCCCGTAAACAAAAATGACCGACCTCCACGACGCCAATGCGATTGCACTCGCGATGGGAGGGGAACTGGAACGACCTTTCGATCATTGTTTCAGCCTCCCTGCATCGGTCCCGAGGGCGCGATCTGGATCCCATGCAACTTCCAGTGCGGCTGGAAGAAGTGGACCTTCCAACGCCGCGAAGGCAATCTGGAAATGCCATAATTCCACTTGCGCCGATTTGTGCCATGCCCGACTTGAGAAAACAAGACGCTGCGTTCGCGCCTTTGTGGCCTGGCCAGAGAGGTGCTTTAGCGCTTCCAGAACTCAAGACGGGCTTGGCCAGAGTCGGCGCAAGGGTAGAGCTGGCGCTTCCATAGGGCAGATCATGTACTACAAGCCCGCAGACGTCGAGCTCGAGTGGATAGCGGTGCGTCTTCTTCATCCGATTCAGGCGGCAATCACCCTGGTCAACTTTCACCGGCCGTCGCACACTCTCGCCGTGCACGTGACAGTTAAACGCTCGCCCGAGTTGTCGCAGCTCCTCGGCACATACGTCGCCGCATATTCGACTACGATGAAGACCATCAAAGCGTACGTGCTGGACCAGCTCGCCTTACCAAATCATCACACCGTGGTGTTGAAGGTGGGCCAGCAGCAAGTGAGCGGCCGGCAGCAGGTGGCCCCCTGCTTCGGCCTCAGCCGGAAGCGCCCGCGCTGAGTCCCGAGGGCGCGCCCGCTCGACCCCATATAGATTGGTTTATCATTTTGCCCGCCGACCAGATGCCGGGCTGCCTTCCAGGCTAGATTTGCTTCCGACATTTTGTATTTCGCATCCCTAGTGCTATCTCCAAGTGTTCCACGGCAAAAAATGTTATCTCATCCGTTTCAAAAACACTTACGCATTTACATTCCAATGTAAACATATACACAACGTGCGCCCCCCGCGTACCCACTCGCAACAAAGCTTGGGAAACATGTCAGAGATCGGCTGGCAGGGTGGCGTGGCGGGCCGCGGCCAATTCGCCCAAGCAGCGCCCGCACAAGCCAGAATAACTCGCCCCCCGCCCGCCCGCCCGCGATGGCGCTCGCTCTTGGCAGCGCCGAGGTGGCGGCCCTCTTCAATGCCGGCCTCGTCGCGCGCCAGACTCTCTTGTCCGCTGCGTGGAGGTTGGGGGAGATGGGGATGCTCGCCGAGGAAGATGACCTCAATTGGATGACCTCCGGCGTCGATGCGGGCTCCGCGGCGACGGTTGCAGCGCCGGCCAAGGCGCCGCCGCCGGCCGCGCCGGCCAAGGCGTCGCCGCCGGCCGTGCCCCCGAGTCCGCCACCGGCCAAGGCAGCGCCGCGGCGGCCAGGGGACCCATGGATGGATCGAGGCGCTGCTGTGGAAGAACACCACCATCATCACCATCACCACAGCCACCCGACCACCGTCATCTCATCTGATGTCGAGTCGGTGCGGGGCTCCCGCTGGGCGCACTACGCGTGCCTCGACCACGCGCGCGTGCTCCCGGGCCTGATGTTCCGTCGCCACTGCTCAGAGTAGGGGCCGATGCGCCTTGCGGATCTCAAATGCTTCGTCGAGGTCTGCAAGACTGTTCGCCCTCCAACTCACGGCAGTGGCAGCTGGATATCTATCCCCCAGGTGTTGGATGGCTGGGAAACGTACTACCTGGACAACACTTTTACCACGCTGTTCTTCTATCACAACCCGACCGGCGCGAGCCAGTGGCACCCGCCGAGCGACGACGTCAGTGCGACGGGTGGCGCCTGAGCGCTTGAGCATCTGTTTGATTTGATTGCTGATAGTGGCGATGCTACTTTTCCTGTTTTACTAACATGCTTTGGGCCCGCCTCCCACCGCCTGGCCCCCGCGCCGCCGCTTCCGCTTGTATATCTATCCGACTGTTTTCGGAGACTCTCAGAGTTTATTTGTTCGCTTTGTCTTATCTTAAGAAACGACGCCGCGCTTGCTCGTCTGATATGTTGCATCAGTATGTGCATTAGCTCCTTCCCGCTATCTCTCTCGCCTTCTCTCTCTCTCTCTCTCTCTCTCTGTCTCTCTACCTTGCATGTGCTCATTGTTTCTTCATATCGTCCTCCCTCTCTCTCACTCTGCTAACTGAGCTGCCATGAGAAGATCGCTCATCTTGCTTTCTGTGCATCTTGGAACGGGCTTATGTTCACGAAGGGGCGTTGGCTTCTGACCGCGATCGATCAGGGCAACGTTGCGGTCGATTGCTTCGAGCAGCGGCCCCCTTAGAAAAAAAAACGGACAAGGAGCTCTTGCCCACTGCAGTTTTCGGAGGGCCATCAACCTGGCAGTGGGCAAGGGCGTTTCGGCCTGCGTGCGCCTCACTGAACGTTCTCCAGACCTGACATCTGGCCGCGGCGATGAGTTTGCGCGGCCACAGAAAGAAATGCCAACTCCAGAAATAAATCTAGAGGCCCAGCCCGCAATACCCAGGAACGCCAGCTTTTGCCCCCCACCGCCTACAGCTTTTTGATAGTCAGAAACCTGGTAGTGGGCAAGAGCCTTTTCCGATAGCCCATATTTTCATGAACTAGCGATAGCTTCTGCGTGCGATCGATCAGGGCGACGTTGCAGCCAATTCTCTCGAGTAGCTATCAGAGCGAAGCCCAGGAGCTTCTGCCCGCGATTGGTCAGAGCGACGTTGCAGCCGATAGCATTGAGCAGATGTCAGAACGAAGGCCCGAGGAACGCATTTCCGATCTCGACTCGTCCGTCTCTCTCTCTCTCTCTCTCTCTCTCTCTCTTTCTCTGTGCCAACCGAGCTCCCATGGGTGTCCGATCGCCCATCTCGATGTCGGCGTGTCTTGGAGGAATTATCTACGAAAGTGCGATAGCTTTTGCCTGCGATTGATCGCGGCGGCGTTCCAGCCGATTGCTTTGAACAGCTGTCAGAGCGAAGCCCAGGAGAGCCCATCCCCGATCTCGACTCTCTCTCTTTCTCTCTCACTCTTTCTCTTTGTCAACCCAGCTCCCAGGGAGCCGATCGCCCATCTTGAATTCTGCGTGTCTCGGAATGAAGTACATGTATATGAAAGAGCGATAGCTTCTGCCTGCGATTGATAGGAGCGACGTTGCAGCCGATTGCTCGAGCAGCTTTCAAAGCGAAGCCCAGGAGAGCTCATCTCCAATCTCGACTCGAGGGTCCTGCGCCCTCCTTCATATTTCCGACTCGAGGGCACGGCGCCCTCTTACAAACTGATTCGTTGCTGTTACTCAGCATCCCAATGGCGTCGTCGTTGCAGCTGGATCTCAGCAGCGAGGAGGTTTTGGCGCTCGTCGAGGCGGGCGTCATTTCAGGCCAAACAATCCACGACGCCTATCGTGCAGAAGCAGCATCGGCCGGATGGCCTCGCAGCGACTTGCCTGAGATTGACGTCTTGGAGTCTTTGGTGGCGAAGGGCGTCCTGACGAACGAGGGCGTCCTTGACTGGATGCAGTCGGGCGTGGTGACGGCGCAGACAGGACCCGCTGGCGGGCGTTCGTCGAAGCCTCGCCGCCGCCCGACTGATCCGAAGGACAAGGCGCCTTGGTACATGCGCGGCTTGAATGCCCCCATCTTCGTGAAGACAGACCTCCAGCCGGAGCTGGCGTTGCTTTCGCGCCAGGGCAACTGCGTCGCGCACGGCATCGGCCACGTGATCGGCAAGGCGCTGGATGCCGTAGCATATGCGAAGATCTTCCCTGCCGCCGCTTCGCGTGGCCGCAAATACGTGGACGTCGCCGCTGCGCTGGGCGTTGGTTTGCAGGAGGCGCCTGGGCGGGCTTGCGTCGTCGGCGCGTCGGAGAGCGGGCAGGCGCGCTCGATCGGTTCGCGGGGGACTGCCAGTCGCGGCCCCCCGTCGGGCCGCGCAAAATGATTCCCTCGAATCTGTCGGGCGCGCGGCCCGCTTCGCCGTTGCCGCCGCTGACGCCGAGCTCTCGCAAGGTGAGCGACCTTTCTCTCCCTGGCGCCCACCTATGTCATCAGTCTGGCAAGAGAGTGGGGCATTGCACGGGAGTTCGCGTACATGATCGCTACGTTACCATTTGGGAGAATAAGTACAAGTTTGAAACCACGTCCAAGGTATCGGCGCCGCCAAACATGTTGATTTTCAAAGTCATCATCGCTGACAAGGGAGCGCATGGCCATTGCCTGGGCCGTCGTCTGCGCGGTCTCAGGGCCGGCACGTCTCGCGGGGGGGCTCCGCACTTATCGCAGTATTCCAGGGATTTGGGGGCGGTCATAGAGGACTCGGTGATCCCTGAAACACAGGCTGCATAATTCGAGGTGCCAACGCAACCGGGCGACCCCCCGACGGTTGGCGCCGAGGACACGATGGCGGCCGAGATATCTGAGGGAGCTCCTCGAGACGCCGCCATGGTCGCGGCCTTGGCGAAGCGGGTGCGCATCGCGGGGGCCGCCACTTCCCGGGAGACGTTCAAGTCGATGTGGTCCGACGTGACGGAGAAGTCCTCGAAGCTCGCGAACTCGTCGGCCGCCGACCCGCCTCAGTTTCACGGAGTGGTGGCTGCTACGGAGAGGCTTGCCGATATCGTTAACAAAAACCACGAGGAGTGGAACGACGATGTCAAAAGGCTTGGGATGGCAGCTCTAATGCTGTATCGGAGCAGGCAATCTGATGTCAGCCTCCTTCAGCACGGTCAGCTTCTCTGGGTGCTTCTGGGCGGGCGCGAGCTGCGGGCGCACTCAGATCGTGCTTATTTTTACGATCATTCCCTTGGACATTTCGAGGGCTTCGACGGTCTCATGCCGCCGACCGTGCTAGCTGCCGCTGGCAATGCCATGCTTACCTTGGAAGGGTTGTTCAGGTCCTTCAAGGCGCCTGTCGCGCGCAAGGACGCGGACGTACTGAATGCGATCGATTCGTCCATCAAGGAGGCCTTGGCGCAGAACAACAACGACTTGCCGAGTGCAATGTTGACTTTCCATGACAACTGCATGTTCAACAAAGGCAATAACTTGTTGAAAGCAGGGAGCGCCGCGCCTGGCAGGCAGAGCGAACCGGGCGGCGACGGCGAGGATGCAGAGGGCGCCCTTGCAGCCCCTGCACCGGACACGAGCAATTCGGCTGACAGCTGGTTCGTGCTAGCGGCTCAGACCATATCCAAAGTGCCAACTAAGCTTCAGTATGAGTTGTTGGGAAACAAGTTGGTTCCTTATTGCATTGAGTGGTGTTCAACTGACATGCAGCGGGTTCCAGGATGCGCGTGCGCTGACTGCTGCGTGTTGTACGATCGCAGCGCTTTCGAGAACGTTTGCTTGTTGTCGTCTCGTTCACCAGAGAACAACATATATCTCGGCATCCCGACACCTCTGCTGGACCCGGTGCTTGACGCCGCCATGGAGCGCGTTCAGCGCGTGTATGAGCAAACTTTTTGGTCTATACCCGAATCGTTCGTCTTCGGCCAGGCAGCGCAGGCATTGGCCAAGCGCGGTCAAAACATCGATCAAATAACTGTGTATTGGGGGCCGGGCGGCGTCGGCCTATCCCTCTACACTTCGCACTTGCACGCGATGCACGGCGATAAGAACCACAAGTTCTTTGATCCGAATATATTTTTCCAGGACGAGGAGATGCGGAAGGTGGTGGAACTCTTGGTCGGCGGCTGCATCTTCACCGGCCAGGAGCGGCCCCCGGGGCAGAGGAGTAGCATGCGCCAGGACTTACTCAAGAAGTTCGCCACGGCCGACACCATCGCGGGGAGACTGCCGTACTCCATCTTGACGAAGATGTACAGGATCATCGGGTGGAAGCGCATGGAGGTAAACCAGTTCTTCACTTTCGACAACGTCAACGAGCACAACCTGGAGTCTATCGTGCGCCGCATCGCCATCATCAAGATACAGTCGCGGTTCTTTGACAAGCTCTACGTTGATAAGATTATTCTCACCGACCCGAGCAGATACGGCATCTTCGCGCGCGATCCCGACGCCGAGGACTTCATGATTAGCGGGGCCGCAGTTGCGGCAGGCCATAAGATTCAGTACGCGTTCGAGGTGGAGAACGGGCCCGAGGCGTGCAGAGACATTTTGGTGAACTACACGAAGTGCGGCGGTGACCATGGAGTAACCGAGAAATACGTCAGGATCGCTTGTCATATCAAGGCGGCCAACGCTGCGGAATCAGCGGCGAGCGCTGTCGCCGAGGGCTTGGTTGACCCGCCGTCCCAGGACGGCCATTTGCCGAGTTCGCCGATAGTCCTTCTCAGCAACCATTTGGTGAAGGAGCTGCAGCGGAAAGGATTGAACTACTTGACTTACAGCGTGTTCCGAGCGTCTGCAACACCTCCCGGCGCTAGGCTGAAGGGTAACAAAGAAGAACAATGGGAGTCGTTGAAAGGCAGCGACTTGTGGATCGACGTCGGTTCCAAGGGCAAGGCGGAAGATCGTCTGATTCCGCGCGTCAAGACTCAGAGAGACGCTTCGATTCTTTGTTCACGGCGGCCGCCATGCTGCGATGCGATATACCCGGAGCATTGCGACGCATCGGCGCTGGAGGCGGCGCGGTGTACATCCAGATTGGCCAACGAGAAGACTTTGGCAGGCGCGTTTAACGCGCTCGCATCGGCGATTGCTCCTGCGCGGGGGCGGCCAGCGAAGGGCGTCCTCGAGAGGATCGAGAGTTTGGATGAGAGGGCGCAGAAGATTTTGTCAATGACAGAGACGCCGCAGCGGCTGCTTGACCGGAGTAAGAGGTCGGCCGACCTCGAGGTTAAGAGAAGGAAGTTGGCCTCGAAGCAGCCGAGCGTTGAGAAGTCTCCAACCCGCCATACTGGAAGGAAAGAAACAGTCCCGCTTGACAGCTTCAAGAGCTACAGGCGCGCAGTGGAGTGGCCGTCTCGGCAGTACGTCAACGAGGAGCTCTCGGCGCAGGCCATGGACCAACGATTACAGCACGTGGTTTTTTTCCAGCACTTTCGATTTGGATTTCGTGAACTGCGTTTTTTGTTTATTGGCGCAGATCATTGAAAAGTTGGGGATCATTGACGCTCAGCTGTTCGCGGACGAGATTGCTGCGCTACAGCGCGTTCGCGCAGATCGAGAGGGCGTCTGCAGGTTGGAGTCTGAAAGCCGTCCGCGCTTCCTCGCTCGTCTCGATGCGGTTTTCTTGGCCTGGTGCGGCTTGGGGAAATAGGTCCAGGGGCGTTTTAGTCCGCTGTGGGGAGGGGATGAGGCGGAGGGAGAGGGTCCATGGGGCAGGTGCTTTGGCGAGCGAAGAAGCTTGGGCGAGCTTTCCTCTGGCTCCTGATAGGGACGTCTTCAAAATGTTGCCGTTCAAGGGCAAGCAAGTCTTGATCAAGCTGATATGCGGCGGCGCTTTGCCGAAGGAATTGTCCGAGAACGAGTTGGCCAAGATGCTGGTGAGAACAGCGCGTTTCCTGCGTTGGCTAGCCGTGGGGCTGTACCCGGAGCAGTTCAAGCTCCTAGAGTCCGCGCAGGACAAGTGGTCAGAGGCATCGCTGGCCAGCTACATGTGGCAAGGCGTTGAGGATTATTGTTTGGAGCAGTGGGTCGACTTTGTCATGGAAGAGAAGGTCAGTCACGTATCTTTGCATTTCGACGGCCTGCGCGTCGACAAGGGGCGCGTCCTTTTGAGCCAGGCGGGCGGCGATGCGCGGGCCACGGCAGTTTCGGACGCAGAGAAGGTCAAATCCTTTTGCAAGAAATCTGAGGAACGGATTCTTGCCACTACGGGTTATTCCGTAAGCATCAGGAACAAGGAGAGATATTATTTTATTGATCTTCTCCGTGCGAGCGCATTTGACGTTGAGCCTGCAGATGCGCCGAGCGACGTCGAGGCGCTGTTCTCTGCCGGCAATGGCATCTTCTGCGCAATGGCTGCGCTCGCGGGCAACTGGTCGGATATGTCGACGAAGGCCGCTGCCGCCGCAACGCCTCCCAGCGCAGCGGCGGCCTCGGCGGCCTCGTCGCCGCTGTTCTGGGCGCCGCCTCGGCGCTCGTATCGGACATGTGCGAGAGCGGCCAATGTGAAGCTGTTGCCCGTGGAAGTGCCACAGGAAAGTTGTCCTGGGCTATTCTTAGTGCACTGCGAGCCAGACGTTGCGCCGCTTTGCGTCGGCATCGACGTGAAACAGCGTGGGCCGCACAAGTGCTACGTCGGCAGGGAGCGCTGGAGTCTGCCGGCCGGGGCGCTGGACGAGGCGGTGTTGGCGGCTCTCGATCGGTGTATGGTAGTGGCATTTCAGATGAAGCCCGCCGATCGAGATGGCGAAGATCATCGAGATAGTTCGTTGGATGGCGCATTGGATTTATTTGCGGGCGCCGGCATCGAGGACAATGTCGCCGCCGTCTGCCGCGCGCGCAGACGCCGCTCGCTCGCGGCGCGCGTCGCCGCAGGTAGCCCGAGCTCAGACCGCTCTCTGTCGCCGCCCTCGCCGGCCAGCCCAGCTGCGCAGCGGGGGGCGGCAGCTCTTCGCGAGCTCGGTTGTTCAATTCGCGGCATCGTGCCTTTTGACCGGCGACGTCTGACGTGGCGCGGCAACTGCATCCCGTTCGGCATTGCGGCGCTCACTGGCGATTGGGATGGCGCCATCGCAGCTGCGACTGTGGATTCGGACGAGAGCGCAGCAGCTATGGCGAGCGGCCTTCGTCGATATAGTGACTGCGCCAATCTCTTTGGCGTTTCATTGCGGCCAGTGCCGACGACGGCGGTGGAGACACTTGGCCGATTTCTTGTTCACGGAAAAGTTGCAGGCAGAGAACATTGCGCAGCTGTCGAAGTATTCGAGCACGGCGGCAGCATCTTACACTCAGAAGGGTTATCTTGGGACGTACCTCGAGGTTTGTCTCGACGCTTGCTTGCGGATTATCCTCGACTTCGGCGTCGAGGCGGCGTTCGCTCTCGGCGGCGGGCATTCGTCGACCCTTGGCGATGACGTCGCTGCACGCGACGCCATGGACATGGTGGCCGGAGCCGGCGTCGAGGAGGAGGGGGCCGTTGACGTCGCGAACGCCGACGACGAGCACGCCGAGGAATTGGATGACGATTCATGCGTGCGCGTGCATGCGAATCTCTTGCAGCTTCTACGCGACGAGGTTACTGACTTCGAGATGATCGTGAAGTCGCTCTCTCGCACAGGCGCCACGAAGGACGGGAATGGGAGCGTTGCAAGGTGCTTGCTTTGCCCATTCAAAGAGTATTCTACTTCGTCTGTAAACGTTAAGAGGGATCTCCTTGCGCATATCGCGAATCACCACGGCTTGCACAGAAAATGCGAGAATGGTAGAGATCGTAAGATGGGATCAGGTCGGTACGTTGCTTCAGGCACTAAGCAGTGGAAAGTCATCCAGGCGTTGTTTGACGACGACATGTAATCAAAGCATCAACCGAAGAACTTGCTGCAGCGCAGTGCCGATCTCATGCGGCGGTCGGTGAGCCCGCCGTTGCGGTGTCTTGGTGTTGACAAGCAGATTCGGCTGCTCCTTGACCACGACGGGCCCCGGTTTGTCAACTTCGAGGTTCTCGCGAGAGATGGCGCGCTCCAAGCCAGGCTCGGGCTGGAAGAAAGAGCAGGATGCGGAAAGGGGGGGGGGGGGTGCGACATCTGTTTCGCGCAGCTGGTTTCGGCTCCGCCCGTTGAGCCCGTTCTTCGACGTGCGGGCGCCTCCCGGCGTTGCGGGGCGCCGGGGACAGTAGCTGCGTGAGCTGATTGCGCGCCCTGCCCTTTGCCATCCTACTCTTTCGTCGGCTTCGACAGGCGCGTGGGAAACACGTACTACACGAAGGAGTTCGCCGAGCTCGTCTTCCGCGAATCCATCTTGCACGAAGGTCGAGTGCGCCCGATGAGGGCGAGGATTGTGACGCGCTTTAAGGAAGCCGGCAGTTGCGTCACGCACCTTCTACCAGGAAAGGTCGTTCAGTGGTTGTCGTTGATGGAGGACGTATTCTCGTCTCCGTTCGTAGAGGAATTGCGAACCAATCTCATGGGCGAGTTGGTTGATAATACAGAGTTTGAGCACGTTTCGTTGGATGCAACTCTGCGCACTGCCATGCGCGTGAAAGGCCAGGCGAACTACAGGGAACCGGCAGAGATTCGAGCGGCGGCGCCGTTTCCAGACGGCGTTGCCAAGAGGCGCATTTTGACTGCCAAAGGTCGCACGTCAGCCGCCATTGGCATGTGGCCCGTGGCCAGCGAAGCGGCATCCGTCGTGAAGGCGGCTCTTCGAAATCACTTGCCCGAGCGAGCTCTCCAGCAGTGCGTCTCAGTGGCATCAGATGATCCGTCGGCGACATTGTTTGCAGAGCTCAAGCAAATCATGCCTCAGCTCAAGTTTTTGTGCCTAGATCCTGTTCATCTCGCAATTGTGTATAATCAGGCGCACTGGCGGGAACATTCTCCGGGCCAGGCAGTTTTGCGAATCATTTTGAATAAATTCAATAAAGTGAGCTCAGATTTAAATGGCGCCGCGTGGGGCGCCCCTTACACGGGCCACCAGGCGAGCTCGCTGTCTGCCGCCGAGGGCCGCGCGCAGTCGTTGATAGCCGGCGGCGGCATGCAGAAGCGCCGAGCGCACAAGATCATTGCAGATCTCGACGCCAATGAGCCATTCGTGAGAAAACTTGAGTTCATCGAGGCATTGGCGGCATTGACGTCCGTCTACTGGGAAGAAGTGGACAGGCGCACCCCCGCCGCGCCAAGCAAGAAGCTGGCTGATGTAATAGCGAATGCCGCGCAGCACAGTCGATGCGAGTATCTTTTTAATAATTTGCGCATGCGGCACTCGCTGCCGGCTCGCGCGCTGCCATTGCTCGGTTCGGGCACGAGCCCAAACGAAGCGCTGCGTAGCGAGATCAACAGGTGGTTTAATAACCAGCCGGAGTTGTACGCGCAGACTTTAGAGCTCCAGCTCGGCGTCAACATAATCGGCAAGCAAATGATGCATAATTCAGCTATGTACGCCCCCACTCTGCGCCAGCTGTCTTCACAAACTGTCGCAGCTAGCGTGGTCTGCTCGTTTGCGATATCCGCCGCCGAGTGGGCAAATCATTGCGCTTCTCAGGCGCGGGAGCAGAGGGCGCTGCGGAAAGCGCAGCTTCCGCTGGCGCTGCAGCGCAAAGCCGCTGAGCCCCTGGCGAACAAGTGGAAGGTGGATCACAAGCGCATGGTTGTTGCGCGCAAGCCAGCAGGGCAACAACAATTCATTCGCACCCTGAAGCGGCCGGGCGCAGCCAAGCAGCGCAAGCGCACGCCCTTCTCTCTTGTTCGGAAGCGCAGCTAA